TATATATATATATATATACACGTATATTATTATATACACATACTATATAAAAAAATATATATATTACTAGTTATGTTATAAATGAATAAACAGAAATTATTGCTTGTTAAAACATTCAGTATTATTCAGTATTATATTATTAATTATTATGCATTATATATACAGCATAAGATTTTCTAACCTTACAAATTAGATACTCAATAGTTCGAAATTTTTAACTAATGAATTGTGACGGTTTTCACTTGTAAAGTCTTTTAGATCAAGAATAGTCTTGTCCATTACTTACCGTTTTATACTCGATTCTCGTATCGAAAGGAAGAGAATTGTCCTATTGGGATTATGGGAACATGGGACGCCATTTTTATCTTACACTAGAACGTTTTCTATTCCTTACCTGCACGCTTACACTCGTCAGTTCTGGCTTGCACTAGTTCGGTTCAGTTCAGTTCTAGTGCAGTCCCAGTGCAGGAACAGAAAACAAGCAGTTGATATCTTCACATCATGTGTGTGGCCACAGCATACGGCTGCGTTCGGTAGAAAAGTTTCTGCTGCGCAATCTATCATAGATTATCTATGCACATGTGAACAAAATGTTTGTATGTAGCATCTCGTTAGTATAACAGATTTCCTAACCTAAACAGTCATCAACTCGCTTAATATCTTGATTTCATGGAGGCAGCTTTTTTTGCCAGATTCTTTTATTTCGAGCAAAAACGCGTCGAATGAGTTTAATTTTATCAAAATCGGAAGTACAGTCCATATTTTAAATAATTATCATTTTACAAATTATAAACTTAGATTAACTTTTTTTTTTTAGACATTATTTTAGACAGTTCAAATAAATAAACATTGAGCACTGTTTTTACAAGTTATTTATAGTTGTTAAGAACTACTGGCAGTTCTTCAGATGATAATTCCTCACATCTATAATTTTGCACTGCCTGTACAGCTGCAGGTTTTTCAGAAGAACATATTCTATTAATTTCTGAAATCAGCTCTGATGTTGGTTTTAATATCGTACGATTAGCAAATGTATCCTGTGGAAGCATTTGATTATCTAGTAATTTATTTATGATTGTATCACTTGTATCAATAGAATGAGCTGGACCATAATCTGGCCTCTTTGGTCTTTCCTCTGTAACGCAAATAGAATAATAAGAGAAAATAATTCAACTTTAAAAGAAGTAAAATAAGTTTTATACATATACTATATATATACGTAATTATAAACTTTACGTTTTAATATATCACATGCCACATAATCAGCAGCTCTAAATAACTCTGCTTTTACAAGAAGTTCTTGTAATAATTTTAATGTTGGTCTCTTTTTCTCCATAGTACTCCACTCATCCAAAAATATTTGAGCTGCATTGCGTTTATCGCTACTTGCTGTTTGTTCGATGATGCTAATCATGGAATTAATACAATGACATATTATAATATAACAATTAAAATAATTGTTATTTCTAATAATAATTTTAAGAAAAATGTATAATGCATTTGATTTCTAAAAATCCTTCCAAATGCTAACAAAAAGTATTCTCCTTTGACACTTTGATGGATTTTTAATATATCCAGTTTACACTGTAAACTGGATAGTTTGATGAACGTGTACGGTAAAAAATTATCTAAACTTAATATTTATTGAAATATTTTATAAGTTACCTGATATGATCACTACTAAATTTAGGAACATTTCCTTCTTTAAGCACAATAGACATTAGCTTCTTCCAAGAATCAGAAATGCTTAACATACTTCCTAAAGTATATAACTCAGCGGGCCTCAATTTTCGTATTTCCATATCCAAATGTGCTTTATAAGACATTTTTAGCGATAATATATAAACGGTATTATAAAACAAATTTTCACCGAAATTATAGAGGTTATTTTGGAATATTTACTCATATTTACTATAATTGTGTAAGGGCCAGCGCACAATACATCAAATATTAGTCCGGATCTACAATGGGTGCATTCAATAGGTCTGTTCGCGTTGCTTACACTTTTGGCACTTGGCATCTTCGCTTTCTCTCTTTTCAAGGCCAAATATATATCTATTTCATTTTAAGTGCAAAAATATTTGGGGATTTCATGCAACGCGACAGACCTAATACTACAACCTAGAATCCCTAGAAAAAGAGACTCTCTAATAAGAGTCTGTTCACCTTCTCTCCGATTTGTGATTGGTCCGACATTTATCATCCATTCCCGCAAATTTCTTTAAATCCAAATTTGTAAAAATTAATAAATTCGTAAAAATTAAAGTAGAATCAATTAAAATTTTTATTTTTATTATTATTTAA